ACCACATTATGCCTTTTGGGAGGGTTCTCCTCACTGCTGTCTTTTAAGGCCAGTCCTGTGTGGGGCTGTAGGGCAGTAGCAGTCCATTTTTGTTTTGAACCTATATTCCAAGAAAACTCAGTGAATTCATGAATTCAGCATAGGCTTTTTTTTGTCCTCCATAAGCTAGACATGAGAGCCAAGTGGCCATAAGTGTGAGCTGAGGAAGGGACATTGGTAAAGAATAGATACGATGTGGGAGCCTGACCACCAGCTCATGATGGGCATCTCTGGCTACATGATCACTTGATGTCCATGATCGGTTCTTACCAAGGCACATTAGCATGCATAGATAGTTGCTTTTTGGGTTTTGCACTGCACGTGGCCTGGTCTTGCCACAGAATGCCAGGAGTCGACCTTGTGATTCTCCCATTGGAGCTTGCCATCAACTTTCATGGCTTCTTATCACATATACTCTTGTACCATAGAATATCCTGAATTGATCCATGCAACAGGGCTAAATGCACTATACCTGCTAGAGAACTTTTACCTGCTGTGGATCCCACTGAAAACTGGCAGACTTCTATCTCACCCAGTTTATGAGTCAGAACAGTATTGCCAAGTTCCGAATTCCCACAGAGGCCACACAACTTGATGTGCTTCCTTGGTGGCAGAATAATTTTGGTGAAATGAGTGGGTGAGATGCAATAATTTGTCCTTTACTGTGAAGGGGATATCTTGGCATTCAAGCAGCCTACTGGGCCCTAAAAATTTCACTGATGTAACAGCTTGCTGGGTCTTACAGGATTTTTTCCCATCCTCCAGTGTACAGTATGCTAGCTGCTTTTATTCACCTCACCCAGCTAGCATAATGTCATCAATGTGGTAGGTCATTGTGACATTAAGTGTGATGTTAAGATGGTCTAGATCTCTTTTGATTATATTATGAAGAGTTAACATAACCCTGGGGCAATAATATAAATGGGTACTGCTGTTCTACGTAAACACAAACTTAATTCCAGTCAAGCACCCTCAGCACCCATTTCCATACACATGCCCATGGTTCCTGTTGGTACAGGTTGGTTGGGTCCGGCATCTCCTTTGTCACATAGGCCCCTTTGGAATTGAAAATAGACACACAGAATGAAGGTAAGACAGCTGCACAACAGCTGCTTCATCATGGTGTTGTGGGCTTTTTTCATAGCAGGTTTTGTTACCTTTTAGTTTTTTGTTTTTTTTTTTTGAGATGGAGTTTCACTCTTGTTACCCAGGCTGGAGTGCAATGGCGCGATCTCGGTTCACCACAACCTCCGCCTCCTGGGTTTAGGCAATTCTCCTGCCTCAGCCTCCCGAGTAGCTGGGACTACAGGCACGCGCCACCATGCCCAGCCAACTTTTTGTATTTTAGTAGAGACGGGGTTTCACCATGTTGACCAGGATGGTCTCAATCTCTTGATCTCGTGATCCACCTGCCTCAGCCTCCCAAAGTGCTGGGATTACAGGCATGAGCCACCGCGCCCGGCCATCTTTGAGTTTTTAAATTATGTGTAAAGCTTTGGTTAAAAAAAAAAAAATTACTAAAAAGAAACTGGGACAGTCTGTCTATCCATCTATCTCTGTTTACCTAATGTTGTTGTGTGTGTTACATAAAATTCAATTTTAGCTTCATATTTATGCAGTATGTTCTGTTTACCTTTGATTCAGCCTTGACCTTTAAAAAGCCAAAAAGACAAATACCTATTTTCACACTGATTCTGATCTCTGAAATTCTGTGTGACCAGTGATCAAGTAATCTTGCAGGGTATTCATCATGTCTAATCTGAAAAAAGTCATTGTATTTACTAATATTTTAATATTCACCTGATAATATAGGTAAGCATTCTAAACATAATTGTGGCAAGAAATTTTTATATGCTTTACATGTTGAAATTCTGTGTCAACTGAAGTACATAAGTATATTATTGCAAGAGTGAATTTCTTCAATAATGATAGTGTAAATTTAAGTAGAAAGTAATTAGAAATTCCCAAATACTTTTTTTATATGGGCAAAATATATGAAACAATGGCCCTGAAGGCATTGGACATCGGTGTGAAAGACAGTGATCCATAAGAGATGGAAAGCAAACAAGGTGAGCAATACAATTGCTCTAACCTGCTGCCTGAAGAAAGGCTTTGGCATGGGGAGAGGAAACACAGAAGACTCCACGAGGTAAATAGATATAACTGGGAGTCCTGGGAGCTCGAGGCAACTAGAGTTCACAGGCGAGCATACTGGAGAGGACAGAGTGACATAGGGAACTCCAGAGATCTGCTGACCATTCCCCTGAAGTATTAAGCTAAATAATGATCAGTACATTCATGAGACGAAATAACCAAAGGCTTGGAAAGTAACCATCAGAAAGGATCAGAGGAAACAATACTCAAAGCTCACATGGGATGGTGAATTATTCCTGATCCCATCAGCAAGAGTGGAAAACCTCATAATTCACAAGGCACCTGTTAGAGTACTAAGAAAGGTCTTGCTTCAATAGTGGGAAAAATTAACCCTCAACTAAATGCTCTAGAATACCTAACAAAGCCTAAAAGCAAGACCCAAAAACATTCAAACTGTCCAAATAGCTTAAATCATATTTCAGAAGAAAGGTCAAACTATTTTAAGGATTAAAATAATCTACAAAGTAAAATTCACAATTTTTGATTGGCTGACATCCAATCAAAAATTACCAAGCATGCAAAAAAAAAATACAAGACATAATAAGAAAAATAAAACATGCTGGGCTGGGCGCAGTGGCTCACACCTGTAATCCCAGCACTTTGGGAGGCTGAGGTAGGTGAATAACCTGAGGTCAGGAGTTCGAGACCAGCCTGGCCAACATGGTGAAACCCCATCTCTACTAAAAATACAAAAAGTAGCAGGGTGTGGTGGTGCACACATGTAGTCCCAGCTACTCGGGAGGCTGAGGCAGGAGAATCACTTGAATTCAGGAGGCAGAAGTTGCAGTGAGATCGTGCCACTGCACCACAGCCTGGGCAACAGAGCAAGACTCTCAAAACAAAAAAATAAAACATTCTGTCAAAACTAACTCAAATTAGATGATGAAGATTATTAGACAAGATCATTAAAATAATTATAATTATATTCCATATACTACAGAAACCATAGGAAAGACTGAAGATTCTACAGACAAGGTATAAAAATACCCATATCAAACTTCTAGAGATGAAAACTCCAATGTCTGAGACAAAAAATATGTTAGATTAGATTAATGACAATTAGACATTGCAAAAAGATTAGTGAACTTGACACAGCAATAGAACCTCCCTGAAAGAGAGAAAAAAATGAAACACATACCTCCTACCAATACAAATAGAGCATCACTAAAAGGTGGGACAACTTCAGGCAGCGAAGTATATGTGTATAATTGGAGTCCTTGAAGGAAAAAAGTGGGGAGCAAAAAATGGTGGTCTAGTCCAAAGTAAGTAGAAGAAAAGAAATATGAGAGCAGAAATCAAAAGAAAAAGTAGGCAGGGCATGGTGGCACACACCTGTAATCCCAGCACTCTGGGAGGCCAAGGTGGGTGGATCATGAGGTCAGGAGTTCAAGACCAGCCTGGCCATGATGGTGAAACCCCGTCTCTACCAAAAATGCAAAAAAAAATTAACTGGGCATGGTGGCGGGTGCCAGGCATACTGATCAGGAAAGAGAGAGAAGACAAGTTACCAATATCAGTATGAGAGGTGATAACATTACAGATTCTACAGTTGTTAAAAGGGAACATTTTGAACACTTTGTATCAGTGTATTTGGCAAATTAGATAAAACAGAAAAATTCCTTGAAGATGCAAACCACTAAAGCTCAGCCAAAAAATAGATACCCTAAAAAACTATCTTTTAAAGAAATCGAATTTATAGTTACAAAACTTCCCACAAAGAAAAAATCCAGGCTTAGATAGCTTCATTGGGGATTTCTAACAAACATTTAGGAAGTAATAATTTTACACAAACTTTTCCAGAAAATGGAAGAATACATCCCAACTGAGTCAACTCATTCTGTGAGCTAGCATTTCTCCCATGAACATAACACAAAAATTATTGACTATGAATTAGGTATATGAAGCCAACTCCTTGTACAATCCCATGTCACCACAGTTGTTGGAAATGAGGGTAGGCAGATTAAGGAAAAGGAACAGTAGGGGTTTGTGTATGTGTTGAGTATATTTTAAAATGTTTTAGAATACTAGGATTTTGAAAAACTGAATTTACAAGACCCTACATATTTAACCATGTCATATTTTTTCATAGACCTTTCAATGACATCCCATTGCTGTTGGGATAGTGTTCTTAACATAGCCTACATTGCCCCCTGCATAAGGTGGCCATCACTTAACTCTGCAGCCTAATTAACACTCCTTCACCCCTTACTCTTTCCTCTCTATCCACCCTACCCTTCATTGTAGTCCCTCAAACTCCTCCACATGGCACTTGCACACAGTCAGAGCCTGGAAATCTGTTCCCTGTTTTGGCCAGTCATTAATTCCTACTCACCCTTCAGCTCACGGTTCAGTCATCCAAGTCTCAGGGAAGACTTCCCTGACCTTCCTGACCAGGCCAACCTGACATAGGTTCCAGTTGCACCCCAAGAACCTCTCCTCCCAGCATTTACTAGAATGCGAGTTGTTATATGAAACGTTGTATAGGGTGTGTGATTACTGGATAAATGCCTATCCCTCTCATGGAGTATAAGGTCCATGGAGCCTGGGATTGAGACTTGTTTTGTTCGCTGTTTTATTCCCAGTGGTTGCCACAGTGTCTGGTACAATATTGGGGCCCAAAAACACTTATGAAAGGGTGAGGAGAGAGAAAACGAAACACTCCAGCTTGTGGTCTAGTAGCTAAGATTCTGCAATTTTATGGCTATAGCCTGAGTTAGATTCCTGTTCAGGGAATGAATCCTGTTACTGAGTATCATTTTGATAAACAAAAAAAAAAAAAGAACAAAGGCAGTCCTTTGAGTCACGGATAAAGTAATCTTAAGGCTGAATAAAGTTTTTATTTCCACAACATTTCCACTAGATGGAAGCATTAACAGTTGAAACATCTGAAAAAAAGAATTTATTTCAAAATGCCCTGTTTTGGGTGGTATGAGCTCTGTGAGCATTCCTGCTCGGTTTTTATTTACTCACCTCTATTATATATGTTTCATTTATTTGGTTAATCCAGTACTCAGAATATCAGGTAGAAATGTTTCTGGCCTGTAAGTTATAAAGAAATTCCCACAGTGACTTAAATAGGTTTGGGGGTGGAGTTGCAGGTTATTATTTTTCATATGACAAGTTCAGAGACATTTCAGGGCTGTGTAGCTGATCAAGGATCCCCTTAAGAAATCAGAGGCCTACAGTGCCGCTCTGCCAGTCTTAGCATGCTTGGAGAGATGGCTGCTATATCTCAAGGGTCAGAGACCCAAAGCCCTCCCTGAAGACCTCTGTCTGCAGCTCCTTTCCAGAACTGATTCACACGGCCACTATCTGTGCAAGAGAGGCTGGGAAATTCAGTACTTTAGTTTTCCAGCTTCTCTCTCTCTCTTTTTTTTTTTTTTTTAAGAGACGGGGTTTCACCATGTTGGCCAGGATGGTCTCGATCTCTTGTGATCCACCCGCCTCTGCCTCCCAAAGTGCTGGGATTACAGGCGTGAGCCACCACGCCTGGCCCCAGCTTTTCTTTTTTAAGAAAAAGAAGAATTGAGATGGATACTGTGAGTCAATTCTGGCCCCCAGTGAAAAGGTTATTGGGAACAACTTGGAGAATCTGGAGAAGGGCCTACAGGAAATGCACAATGGTAACTGTGATAGTCAAGAGAAAGTTTCAATGAGACAAATAGCTTATCTTGGAGAAGAGGTTAAGGGGCTTTCACTGCTACCTTTACCTGGTTGATCCTATTCAAATTTAAAATTCACCTCTAGGACAGGCACCATAGCTCATGCCTGTGATCCCAGCACTTTGGGAGGCTGAGGTTAGAGGATCACTTGATCCCTAGAGTTCGAGATCAGTCTGGACAACATAGTGAGACCTGTAATTTTATAATTAAAAAATTATGACTGGGCACATTGGCTCACACCTGTATTCCAAGCATTTTGGGAGGCTGGGGTGGGTGGATCACTTGAGGTCAGGAGTTCAAGACCAGCCTGGCCAACATAGTGGAAACCCCATCTCCACTAAAAACACAAAAATTGGTAGGGCATGGTGGGGCACACCTGTAACTCCACCTACTCGGGTGGCTCAGGCAGGAGAATTGCTTGATCCTGGGAGGGTGGAGGTTGGGGAGGCTGCTACTGGGGCAGGAGGATCATTTGAGCCTGGAAGGTCAAAGCTGCAAGTGAGCCTCTTTGTTTGAAACAGTCTCAGTCTGTCACCTAGGCTACAGTGCAGTAGTGAGATCTTTGCTTGATGCACCCTCTGCCTCCTGGGTTCAAGTGATTCTCCTGCTTCAGCTTTCTGAGTAGCTGGGATTACAGGTGTCTGCCACCACACCTGGCTAATTTTTTTTTTTTTTTTTTTTTTTTTTTTGAGGCAGAGTCTCACTCTGCCACCCAGGCTGGAGTGCAGTGGCACTATGTTGGCTCACTGCAACCTCTGCCTCCCAGGTTCAAGCGATTCTCCTGCCTCAGCCTCCTGAGTAGCTGGGACTACAGGCACCCACCACCAAGCCCAGCTTATTTTTGTATTTTTAGTAGAGACGGGGTTTCATCATGGTGGCCAGGCTAGTCTAGAACACCCAACCTCAGGTGATCCGCCCGCCATGGTCTCCGAAAGTTTACAGGTGTGAGCTGGAGTTACAGGTATTAGCCACCAGGTCCAGCCTGCAGTGATTACACCACTGCATTCCAGCCTGGGCGACAAAGCAAGACCCAAAAAATAATAAAATGCAGCTCTGGTGTTCCTTCCTGTAGGAGGTGTTTCCAAGTTCTTTCCTTGTTGTTTTTTAAACATCTTTACTGAGATATAATTCACATACTACAAAATTTACCCTTTTAGTGTATATTTAGCTGAAGCAAGTAGGGAAATTCACCCTTTTAAAATATACAACTAAATGGCTGGTTCACATATTGCAGAGTTGTGTAATCACCACCACCATCTATTTTCAGAAAATTTTCATCTTCCCACAAAAGAAACCCAGTACCTATTAGCAGTCATTCTCCATTCTCCACTCCCCAGAGCCCCTGGGAACTTACTGTTTCTATAGATTTGCCTATTCTGGTCATTTCATATAAATGGGACCACACAATGAATGGCCTTTTGTGATTGGATTCTTTCACTCAGCATAATGTTTTCAAGGTTCATCTAGAAACCATGTGTCAGTACTGCAATCCTTTTTACAGATTCCATTGTATAGAGAGGACATTTTGTTTACTCATTCATCAGTTGATGGACTTTTGGGTTGTTTCCACACTTTGGTTATTATGAATAAAGCTGCTATAAATATTCATGTACAAGCCTTTGTGTGGCCATATGTTTGCATTTTCTTTGGTATATATACCTCTATCACATATGTCTTATTTATTTGGTCAGTCCACTGCTGGGTCATATGATAACTCTATGTTCAACATTTTGAGAAACTGCCAAACTGTTTCTCAAGTGAACAGGGTTGGATGTTTATTTCAAACATGTTTAAATAGTTGTCCTCATTTTAAATAATCATTTAGTTTGAAAATGACTAGTTTTACAGCTTCTGCAATATACAGTTGCTGTACCCTGAGGCTGTTCAGAACAACGTATATTGGATTTTGTCACGTGTGCCCAGGGTAGAAAAAAATGAAATTTAAATCCTATTTGTTTCTTACCATTTTTAATTTCTGTTAATGTATGGTTTTGTTTGTTTTTTGTTTTTGAGACCGAGTCTTGCTCTGTCACCCAGGCTGAAGTACAGTGGCATGATCTCGGCTCACTGCAACCTCTGCCTCCTGGGTTCAAGTGATTCTCCTGCCTCAGCCTCACAAGTAGCTGGGATTACAGGACCCCACTACCACACCTGGCTAATTTTCATATTTTTAGTAGAGATAGGGTTTTGCCATATTGGCCAGGCTGGTCTCAAACTTCCAACCTCAAGTGATCCACCCACCACAGCCTCCTAAACTGCTGGGATTACAGGCATGAGCCACCACAACTGGCCTGTTTGTGTATTTCAAAGGCACATATTGTATTCATATATTAGTACACTCATGTAATTTTTTTTGAATCACAAAACTAAAGCAGCTCAAGTTTGAGGGAGTTTTTTAAAATTACTATTTTTTTTAAAATCACTATATCTCTTCAAGTGGCTGCACTGACTGGCAACTAATAGTGAAGCTTGCATGGGAAGCCTTTACAAATTTCATGGGAGCTTATACCAATTGCTGGACTGAGATGATAAGAACCCCACGAGCCTCCTGAACCCTTCAGTCTTTTTTCCTTGGTTCCATAAGATGCCTCTTCCCAACCAGGGCAATCCAGCAAGTTCTCAAAGAAAACTGTAAGGTAAATGAACATGCTTAAGTAGAGAAAAAGCTTAAGGGAGGCTTATTTGCTTCCATTCACACATTAACTCCTGCTCATTCTTTAACACTCCTTTGCTTAGGCATCCCTGCTCCCACCTTCCCAGTCACCCTGTCCAGTTCTCAACCCAGATCCTCAAATGAGGGTGGCTGCCTTTCCTATGTGTGCCCATAAAAACCCTTGTCTATTTCTATCTAAGCATTTAGTAAACAGCATTGACATTGTTTTCTCTGGATCCATGTCACCAGATAGTGATCCCATGCAGGCAGGACTCAGTTTTATTCATCTCTATGTCACTGGCTCCAAGCACAGTGCTTAATGGAGAGAGTACACAGTATGTCCTAATTAATCAGTGAATGACTTTTGAAAATAATTGCATTCTGCCTCAAGTAGGCCAGACTTACAGCAACCCCTCACAGGTCCCAGTCAGTTTAGAGGTTTATTTTGCCAAGGTTGAGGACACACATGGGAAAAAGGATCTGTAGCCCACACTTTTTCCAAAGAGGATTTTGGGGGCTTCAGTATTTAAAGGGGAAAGTGAGGGTAGGAGGGGTAAAGCCATGTCAGTGTTTCATCACTGTAAACACACAGCCTATACTGACATATATGTCTATATATATATATATAGAAAAAGAGAGAGAGAGAGAGAGAGAGACTCCTGAATATGGTTGTCGGGACTCCTCCTTTCCCATATTGGCTCAACCTCCAGGTTGGTATCTTTAGCATTAGTTTGAGGAGAGCAAGCTGTGGGCACAAAAGTGAGGAAAAACCCACTATGTAAAAGAGGAGATGATTAAGGTAACACAGGGAGGCCACTCTGTGAGATGGAAATGGAAATAAGCAGGCTGTTTTTTTTCTTTGTGGTGGGATCACATGCTGGCTAACATCTCCCTAGGGGATTACTGTGTACAAGACACAGTGCTTTTTAATCCTTATAACAACCCCCATCTTCAACACATCTCTAACTGCTTCCTCTGTTCCAAACTTATCTAATGACAACATACCATTTTCTGAGGATTCTAATTTTGCATCTGTTATTCTCTTCTACTAGTGCCTTTTTCTACTCCCAAACTATCCATCAAAGTCTTGCCCAATTTTCATGAGCCAAATCAAACACTGCCTCTCTGAAGACTTCTCTATTCAGTTCTGAGAACTCTTCTTTCCCACCTTTGGATTCCTACAACATGCTGTCACTCATGGCACTTACCTTACTGCACTCCAAGTCTTTCAGTATATGTGTTATTTCTGCTGCTAGGTTGTGGGTTCCTCAGAGACAGGAACTCTCTCTAATGGATGTTTATGTTTCTGTGGCTTTTGTATATAGTAGGCACTTAATATTTGTTGAATAACACAAACAGCACCAACCTGTCCTTACTGCCATTGTTGCAAGAGAAGGGCCTTCTCTCCCTAATTTAGTCAGTCATAATAACAAAGCAGCATCATGTTAATGACTTAATTCTGATTCCTTTGCTTGGTCCTGTCAATTTTATTTCTCATATCCATCTATCTCCCATTACCACCACCCTAATCCAAGTTACCAACACCTCAGACCTGGACAACCACAGAAGCCTCCTCACTGGTCTCCCTGCTTCCATCTTGGCCCTCCTCCAGCTAATTTTCTATATTGAAACCAGAGAAATTTGGAAAAAGTACTGTGTCTTTCACTCTAAAATAACCAATGTCCTGGGTATAGCTGCTTAATAAATAGCTACTTGAGAGAGTTCAAAGAAACTCTCATTTTGCAAATAACGAAATCCAAGGCCAAAACATACTGAAACCTCAATGTCAGAACTGAGGTCAGAATTTGTAATTTATAATTGCATAGATGAGCCTCATTTCAATGGGCCATGCTACTTCTCCCAAATAGGTATTTCATTTTCTATGTTATCAATGGAAGACAAATAAAATCATTTGAATTGATCTAGAGCCTGCTTTCAGGACTACAAAATGTTAAAAACAATCACCAGGGGACAAAAGGGATGACAACCTGGACTGAACTGATACATTAAGGGCCACTCGCACATGGACCCCTTGTGTCCCAGGATCCACCTCCTCTAGCCAACTGAAGGACAGGGGCAGCATTTCAGATCCAGGACTATGTGATCCACATGGGGTGCATAGGATTTCACTGGTTGGATGTGCAGAATTTGTGTCTTCCATGGTTTCCCATGCACCTGCTGAAGAAGGGTGGCGATTCGAGTTTCTGCAGATTCTGCCCACATCTGCCACTCTGGTTTGGTGGCTGGTGACAGCATTTTTCTCCTAGAATCCCTGGTAGCTCCATTTTTCCACTGGTTGGTGACAGTTTGCTGAGGATAAGACCAATGCTCTTTCTCTATTTTGCTGACCCCAAAAGGCTGAAGATTTTTCCCTGGGAAAGATTCCACGTTTTGGTGGATATGCAAAATGCCCCCAGCATCCTGCCGCAGCACTTGGCAGGCAATGGGCCAGCCTTCTTCAGAGCTGGGAAGCAGCCCCAGGATGACCCTATCTGCAATATTTGAGAGCTTCAGTTTTCTGTTATCTCCAAAATGTATTTGGCACCGATCTGCTACTCCATTGATCTCAAGGTTATTTCTCAGAGCAACTACAGCATGGGGATTCCATTCACAAGCATGGACAAAAGCAGCACCAGCATGAACTAGGAAGGGCAACGTAAAATAACCAATCCCTGCATAGAGATCCACCAGCACTTCTCCAGCACAGGACAGTGATGCCATTCGAAGCTTCTCAGTGATGTTTCCGAAGGAGAACATACACTGGGTCACGTCAAATTTATAGTGGATACCATTATCCACATGCTCTACCCAACCATGGTCACCCAGCAGCAGCGTCACTGTTGGAGTTCGAGTGCCATCCGGTGATACCCGCCCTCGTTTTGCCAAACGCTGGACGCCAAGTGCGGAGGCAATGGTCTCCCAGAGTTCCGGTCCCAGATTTTTCCACTGCTTGGCTTGGAAACAGTCTTCACTCAGCAACAAGAGATTACCATGCCGTTGCCATGATCGGGGCAAATCAGCCTCCAACTCGGCTGACCACTTGACTCCCCGGCCCTCTACCCAGCGACTCACCTCAACACACAATTTTTGGGCAGGTGAACAACCCTGGGCCCTCTTTGAAGGAACAGGATCAGGGAGCTGCGTCAGCATACAGGCACTGCCTGGGGCAACACGATTCCTCAGCTCCTGCAGGTACTGCTCTGGAAACGTCTCTCCCAGCACCGGAAGCGCCACTGAGCCATCCGGCATCTTTTCCACACGGTGCTGTCGATCAAAGAGTTTCTGTTTCTCGAGATATTCCCTGCATCGCTGGGTAAACCGAGGCTCAGTCACGACTGCAACAACACCCACAGACTTTTCACTCTTTCTCTCCATGTTGCTAACGACCACATTCTCTTCCATCACCTCAGCAATACTCCCTCTCCTCAGAGTCGCCTCACCAGCCTAAATTCCCAGGCGCGATAAGGAAGACGGCCGCGCGAGTGCCGGAAATGACGCGCAACAGACCGGAACTATATGTATTGATGTGATTGCTGGAGAACGGCGTCTTGTTGTCGCGGAGAAGCTGTAGTCGCCATCTTTTTTGTGGTCAACCATTACTTTATTCAGCCTAGGAGGAAATTTGTAACGGGGAACCTTATGGACTAAAAGACTTCAAATTGGTATTCTCCAGAAACCTTATGCACTCTTTTCAGTGCTGCTCATGAATCCAAAGAGAGAAATGAACATGAAATTGTCAGAGCTCTGTGAACCAGAGCAACTCCATCTTAAATAGGGGCTGGGTAAAATGAGGCTGAAACCTACTGGGCTGCATTCCCAGACGGTAAGGCATTCTAAGTCACAGGATAAGACAGGAGGCAAGCACAAAATACAGTCATAAAGACCTTGCTGATAAAACAGGTTGCATTTAAAGAGAGTGCCAAAACCCACCAAAACCAAAATGGCCACGAGAGTGACCTCTGCACACTCCCACTGGCGCCATGATAGTTTACAAATGCCATGACAACATCAGGAAGTTACCCTATATGATCTAAAAAGGGGAGGTATGAATAAGTCACTCCTCATTTTGCATATCATCGAGAAATAACCATAAAAATGGGCAACCTGTAGCCCTAGGAGCTGCTCCGTCTATGGAACAGCCATTCTTTTATTCCTTTACTTTCTTAATAAGCTTGATTTCACTTTGCACTGTGGACTTGCTCTGAATTCTTTCTTCCGTGAGATCCAAGAATCCTCTGTTGGGGTCTGGATCAGAACCCCTTTTCTGTAACAAAATGATGATCCGAATTTGGAGAAAGCTTTCCCATAGCCTAGTGCTGCTCTCAGGTTAGCATCAGCAGCACCTTATTTGCTGAAAGTGAAGAGTCAGATATATCTTCCTCATTCGCTTTTCATGCAGATATAGTCATCACCATTCCACTGTCCTATGGTCCAAGAAACAACTATTTGAAAGTCAGAAGGATCTGAGCGCCAATAAATCATATCATGGCTCAAAATTGGAATCTTTACTTATAAAATGGAATCTAATCTTCAGAAGATTGCTATAGTGAGTAGAGACATTATAGTGGCTTAGACAATAACTAGTAAAGAGTAGATACTTAAAAAGATACAAAGTAACAAGTTGGTTAGCTCATAAATACTAAATACCTGTTGAAATGCTTTAAAATACCTTGGTGGCACTAGGTGGTTCATACCTGTAATCCCAGCACTTTGGGAGGCCAAGGTGGGCCAGGTCAAGAGATGAGAACATCCTGGCCTACATGGTGAAACCCCATCTCTATTAAAAATACAAAAATTAGCTGGGCATGATGGCACGCACCTGTAGTTCCATCTACTTGGGAGGCTGAGGCAGGAGAATCGCTTGAACCCAGGAGGCAGAGGTTGCAGTGAGCAGAGATTGTACCACTGTACTCCAGCCTGGGCGACAGAGGAAGACTTCATCACAAAAACAAAAGAAAATTATAGAAATGCTTTGAAATATCTAAAGAAATCCTATCACTTCTACTTCATTCCTACTGTCAGCGGAGTCCAAACCAGAGTGACTCCACCTTGAATAGAGGCTGAATAAAGCAAAACCTGCTGGGTTACATTCCCAGAAAGTTAAGTACTCTCCATCCTAAGCAGGAGAATAGGGTCTGGAGGCAAGGAACCTAAGGCTGATTCACACTGATTCCTAGAACTAAATCAAAAGGAAAATCCCAACTTTCCATGCCTAAGTAACAAAAGGACCAGAGGCTACTTCCCTTGCTTTTCTGCAGGGCAGATGGGAAATTGAAAGTACCTTTGACTTGTTGCAGAAAGCCACCAATCAATCCAAATACCCACTAGAGGTTTCCCATTGGCTACTTGATGTTCACTCCATGCAAATGAAGTAATGACCTGCAATCAGATGTTTGCATAGGAGTGCAACTTTGGAGCTTCTCTTTGGCCTCTGATTGCAGGCCACTACTTCATTTGCATGGGGTGAACAGCAAGTGACCAATGGGAAACCTCTAGTGAGTATTTGGACCCCAGAAGAGTCTATAAATGGGCCCTCGAATCCCTGTGCAGGGACGGCTTCCATCCTGTAGAGTGTACTTTCATTTTCAATAAATCTGTTTTTGTTGCTTCATTCTTTCCTTGCTTTGTGCGTTTTGTCCAATTCTTTGTTCAAGACACCACGAACCTGGACCCGTACAAGACCTTCTGGTTCAAGGAACAGGTTAATGATTCTTACTCACTAAACAAGACCTAGAACTTAAGGAAATGTCCTGATGTCCTGATATCGTCAGAACAGAAAGCATTCTAGTTTAAGAATAGGTTTCTCTTTAAAGATAATAATATATTCATAAATTTTTGCCAAAAGCAGTAGTTACACAGAGAATAACAGTACTAATAATCTGTCACAAGTGGATCACAAGCTGTTGTACTAAAGCACATGAAACCATTATTCTTAGCTAGCTATATAATTTTTGGTGTGGGGTCCTCCTCTTGCTTTCTGAGAACGCTCTACTCTGTAATAGAGCAGTCTTCAATAAACTTGCTTTTTTCACTGTGCTCTGTGACTGGCCCTGAATTTGTTCCTGCCTGAGATTCAAGAACCTGCTTTTCAGGTCCGGAACAAAATTCCTTTTAATTAATTAATTAACATTTCCTGTGGCAACTCCCAAGGACGTTACTAAGGTGAGACCTTCAATCTGAAAGAAATAGACGGCACAGGACCAACTGACTGACTTTGCATAAGTGGGGGAATTCATTTTTATACCAATGAAGGACAAGGACACTTATCTAAGATTGGGTTTGAGGCCTACTTGGGAGGGTTAAAGGCCCCTCACAGCTGAAAATGGGTTTAGCATGATGTGATGTTAACCATTTTTCGCTGTGGATTCGTCCTTCTTGTGCTCTCTGTAAGAGCATTCCCAAAGCTGCCACTTGCCAATTCCCTGATTGCTTTCTATGCTTCACTGCTGCTTTATGAGAGAGACCTCGTTGGACCAGTCCTGAGGTTTTTAACTTGCCTTTTCCTTGTTTGCCTTTGGGTTATGGGCCATTTGCCTGTCTGTTCTGGAATGTTGCTAAAAGACATTGGGGACAAATGGCTCTGCAATATTTACTTTCCCTATATCTAGTCAACTTCAATGTGTTGTTTACTGTCTCTCCTTCTTTGAAAAGATTACTTGAGGCTGGGCACAGTGGCTCACGCCTGTAATCCTGGAACTTTGGGAGGCTGAGGCAGGCAGGTGGATCACAAGTTCAGGAGTTCGAGACCAGCCTGGCCAGCATAATGAAACCCTGTCTCTACTACAGTTACAAAAATTAGCTGGGCATGGCGGCGTGCACCTATAGTCCCAGCCACTCGGGAGGCTGAAGCAGGAGAATCGCTTGAATCCAAAAGGCAGAGGTTGCAGTGAGCCAAGATCACACCAATGCACTCCAGTCTGGGTGACAGACTCATTCTAAAAAAAAAAAAAAAAAAAAAGATTACTTGGAATTTTGAATTTTGTAATTTCATTTACAAATTTTAAACGAAAAGGTCCACTGTGAAAGATTAAGCCTGGCAGCAATTATACCAGTCCCCCATAGGTGAACTGCTCCTGGATGGAAAATCAGAGGTTGCTTTCCAGTGGTTCTTTTTCATCTCCTTGCTAATGGAATGACTTTTACTTTTTGTTTACAGATGGCAAGGCCATGTAAATCTTGGCCTGCTTGCCTTAGACATTCCTTTCTAAACCTTTTTCATTTCCCTTCCCAAGTGAGACATTTCTTTTGCTGAGTCCTCTATTGTGGTCTTTACTTTTGAATGACTGACCCTAATAATAATTTGGTTTCTGTGGTTACTTGGACAGTTCTTCCCTGTGGGTTTAGGGATAGCTTTCACTTATTCTTCTTTATGTGGCTGAATAACAAGGAATGGCCCTAAGTGTTCTTGTCCAGAAACAGGAATATGTCCCTTGACCCATGGCATACTTTTCTTTTCTTTTCTTTTTTCTTTTTTGAGACAGAGTCTTGCTCTGTCTCCCAGGCTGGAGTGCAGTGTTGAAATCTCAGCTCACTGCAACCCCTGCCTCCTGGGTTCAAGCAATTCTCCTGCCTCAGCCTCCTGAATAACTGGAATTATAGGTGCCCACCACCACGCCTGACTAATTTTTGTATTTTTAGTAGAGATGGGGTTTCACCATGTTGGTCAGGCTGGTCTCAAACTCCTGACCTCGTGATCCACGTGACTCAACCTCCCAAAGTGCTGGGATTACAGGCATGAGCCACTGCTCCTGGCCTCATGACATATTTTTCTAACTAATTAACCATGTGGCTTCAAGATGACCCAGATGTCTCAGGGCAGTTGTAACAACTGCTCTTTTGGTAGATGAAGACAATAAATTAACTTTGGGACAACATCTGGAGGTTTTGACCCCATACCAAGTAACAGGGGCTCTAGAAGCTAAAAGGCACCAATAGATGAGTAGAGAGTGGTTATTAAAGTATCAGGCTTTATTGCTAGGTACTCTTGACATAACTCTTACAGTGCAGCAGAAGACCTTAAACCTGGCTATCTATCTATGTGGATCCACAGGCACCCTAGATCATTTGCATACACAAGCTGTGGAGCAAATTTATTCCAGCTGGCCAGATTTTAAAATGGGCCATTACGGCCAGGTGCAGTGGCTCACACCTGTAATCCCAGCACTTTGGGAGGCTAAGGTAGGTGGATCACTTCAGATCAGGAGTTCCAGACCAGCCTGGCCAATATGGTGAAACTCTGTCTCTACTAAAAATACAAAAATTACCTGGGTGTGGTGGTGCACACCTGTAGTCCCATCTACTTGGGAGGCTGAGGCAGGAGAATCATTTGAACCTGGGAGGCAGAGGTTGCAGTGAGCCGAGATTGTACCAATGCACTGCAGCCTGGGAAACAAGAGCAAAATGCCATCTTAAAAAAAAGGAGAGAGAGAAAAGGAAAGAAAACAAGGTAAACCTATTAAATAGCTTTTTTATATTGAACACTTACTAATTTTCCAGATTTCACCT